TAGTCTTTGACAGGTATGGACTTTTGCCATTTTGTTGCTTATTTTCTCGCTGTTTTGTGGTTTCTCTGTTTCTTCCTCTTGCTCTCTCCCTTGGTGATTTGATGATTTTCTCTAGTGACATACTTTTTTTTTTTTTTAACTTTAAAGTAATCTTTACAACCAATGTAGGGCTTGAACTTACAACCTCGAGATCAAGAGTCACATGCTCCACTGACTAAACCAGCCAGGCACCCTTCTAGTAATATATTTTGATTCCTTTCTTTTTACCTTTTGTGTATTTACTGTAGGTTTTTGCTTTGTGTTTACCATAAGGCTGATATAAAACATCCTGTAAGCCTATTTTAAGCTGGTAACAACTTAACTTCAAATGTATACAAAAGTTCAACATTTTTACACTTCGCTCTTATTTTGTTTTTGATGTCACAATTTACATCTTTATATGCTGTGTATCCATTAACAGGTTATTCTGGTTATAGTTATTTTTAATACTTTTATCTTTTAACATTTAAATGAGAGTTATATGTGATTTACCTTCCACCATTACAAGATTAGAGTATTCTGAATTTAACTGTATATTTACCTCTACCAGTGGAATTTACACTTTCATTTGTTTTCATGTTACTAATTAGCATCCTTTCATTTTAGCTTGAAGAACTCCCTTTAACATTTTTTTATAAGGCCAGTCTATCTATTGTGATGAACTCCTTTAAGTCCTTTTTTGTCTGGAAAACTGTCTTTCAATTCTGTAGGACAGCTTTGTGGAGTAGAGTATTCTTGGTTGGTGGTTTTTGTTTACCCCCAGCACTTTGAATATACCATACCACTCCCTTCTGGCCTGCAAGGTTCCTGCTGACAAATCCGGTGATAATCTCATGGAGGTTCCCACTACTCCTTTATGTTTGGTGACAAAAGGCAAAATAATTATTTTTAGAACATCACAATAAAACTTGTCACCTAGGAAGGAATGGGAGATGGTGGAAGTATTCCTTCACATTCTTTCATTAGCACTCTATAAAATAGGTTACCTGCAGAGACACAATGCCCTAGAGGAATAGGATGCAGAACAAATATTTTCATTTATTCATTATTTATAGTAAGTCATCCCAATTCTATAAAATCTTTGAGGAAACTCATAACAAACACACACTTATACTTTAGAAAAATGATAAAAGATTTGAAACATCATGTAGTACTATGGAAATTATAATTATTCCAGAAATATGAAGATCTCAATGGAGATATGTAGGGAGATGATGGGGGATATAAAGTAGTAGTAGACTGTAGATTGTGACTCATTTGTGTGTTATAAAATCAGCTTAGGAGGTCACTAACTGGTATTTTGTTTAAAAAGAAATTAGAATGATATTGAAGACATTAGAGTGTTTTTCACATAATAAGTATTATTTTGTGAAATTACTTCCCTTCTCTCTCTTTGCACATATGTACTACATCTCAGTAGAAATGTATTTTATACTCTGGGTTCTAATCAAAATAGTTAAAGTCATTGCCTTTGTGAGTGGAAGACTGCAGAGGAGACTAATCATAGGGCAGATTTGGGGGGTGAAGAGCAATGTAATGACGGTCTCAAGGTAGGAATCTAGAGGATTGAATTTGAAGGGATAGAGAGTAAGAAGGGCAAGGTACCTGCTAAGAAAGGGCAGTGAGATGCACGATAAAAATTACCCTAATATCACAATTTTGCTTAGGGCCAAATTTATCTGAAGATGTTATAGATTCAGTCCATTCATTGTCCTGTGTATCACCTAGGTAGCCCTTGTATGGCAGGTTACTCTAAAAAGAAGGAGCCACTTCTGCTAAAGAGCTTTTAGTTTTGCTTTCGGTTCTTTTATAAGGAAGAATAAGATATTTCTTGTAAAATACTGAGTTACAGACCAATTGATGGAAGTTCTGAATAGGAACAAGCCTGTGGTTGTTTGCATAGTGATTCTCAAATTTGTCTGCACATTAAAATCACCTGGCTATCTTTTTGAAGTTTTAATGTAAATTCCAGTTAACATATAGTATAATATTAGTTTTAGTGTACGATTTAGTGATTCAACACTTACGTACAACACCCTGTGCTCATCACAGGTGCATTCCTTTAATCCCCATCACCTTTTTTTTTTTTAAGTTTATTTATTCATTTTGAGAGAGAGTGCAGGTAGGAGAGGGGCAGAGAGAGAGAAGGAAAGACTGAGAAAATCCCAAGCAGGCCCTGAACTGACAGTATGGAGCCTGATGCAGGGCCTGAACCCATGAACTGCAAGATCATGACCTGAGCTGAAGTCAGACGGTTAACGGATTGAGCCACCCAGGAACCCCCCATCACCTATTTAACCCATCCTCCCATGCACTTCCCCTCTGGTAACCATGAATTTGTTCTCTATAGTTAAGAGTCTGTTTCTTGGTTTTCCTCTTTTTCCTTTATGATCATTTGTTTTGTTTCTTAAATTCCACATATGAGTGAGATCATATGGTATTTGTCTTTCTCTGACTGACTTATTTTGCTTAAAACAATACTCTGTAGCTCCATCCACATTACTGCAAATAGCAAGATTTCCTTCCTTTTTATGGCTAATATTCCGGTGTGTGTGTGTGTGTGTGTGTGTGTATACAGATACCACATTTTGTTTTTAATTTTTAGGGGAAGAGAGAGAGTGCACATGAGAGAGAAAGCAGGGGAGGGCTCAGAGGTCAGTCATGAGATCATGACCTAAGACAAAACAAGAGTTCAGATGCTTAACTGACTGAGCCACCCAGGCACCCCTAACACACCACATCTTCTTTATCCATTCATTAGTCAATGGACATTTGGGCTCTTTCTATAATTGGCATTGTAGATAATGCTGCTATAAATACCTGACTATCTTTTGAAAATTACAAGTATCAGCCCATTCCCCCAAATAATTTAATCACATAGTTGGGAATGGGACACAGGTGTTAGTATTTTACAAAGCTCAATTGGTGATTCCAATGTGCAGATAAGTTTGAGTCAAGTCTAGCTCAGAATTCTTCCTTATCTATAGGGTCCCAAATTTTAGGGTTGTCCTTGAGATTTAGGTCTACCTTTGATTACTTGAAGCAAAGTATGCAATTTCTAAGAGATTTTCTCTTTCAAATTTAACTCAGGCTATGTACTCATTTCACTGTTGTATAGTTTAATGGGATGTGTCCATTACAAACGTTCTTGACAGTCCAAGAAGAAGATGAGAGAAAAGAAACAGAAGGAAGAGAAAACCAATAAGTAAGCAGGATAATTATTAAAAAGCACTTCAGCTTCTAGCAATCAGACCTTAGTCCAAAGTACCATTTCTTATTAAAGAGATACATTTCTTTAGAGAAATGGCTGATTGCAGGTTTGGGAAAGGAAATATTACAGGTGATTTGAGAATCTTGTTCTATGGAAATAAGTAAGCTAACAAAGAGTGCTACCAGGGATGTAGCAAAAGGATTCAAGAGCCTACGTAAAGAGGCTCCCACCTCTTCCCACCTTATTGATTAGAGTATCAATAAGGAAATTAATTACAACGAATTAAAATGAATTTAATATATTTAAATCCACGTGTTCACAATGATATAAAAATTATTTTGTCACAATTGGAGGTTACAAGTGAGCTAATCAGTGTTATGAAAAGTCATAAAAAAGAGAAAGAGTAAAGCAATTATCCTACCTTTCTGTATGAATCATACCACTAAGTAATCAAATAGTACCCGAGTTTTTCTTTATATAAATATTCTAGCTAATAAGTGAAGAAGGAATGATAGATTTATATATAAATATTTTATAACCCCTGATGATTTGCTGTGTCTAGTTACTATGTGTAAATATAGCAGGTAATACCATAATCATAAAACCACTTGTATATGATATTTCTTCCAGTGGAAAGCACCATCATTTATATGGTGGTTCTGGGGTAAAAAAATGAAGTTAATCTGATCAAGTCTTAAAATCCTACAATGTTGGTGATATAATTAGCAAAATCCAGACTGAAAAATCTATAGGACAAATTGCCTGGCAATAATGATATGATGATGATAATGATGATGATGATAAAAGGCATGGAAAAAGAGCCTATAGATAAAAAAGAGATCCAAAAGACACATCAGTCAATAAACTGTCATGGGGACCTTATTGAATTCTGACGCAAAGTGTTAAAAAATTTTGACGCTTATGAAACAACTGGAAATTTGAACGCTGACTATGTTTGATGATACTAAGAAATCACTGTTAACTTTTTAGGAGTCATAATTGTGTTTTAAATTTGTGTTTTAAAAGAAAAAAATGCCTTGGGGCTCCTGGGTGGCTCAGTTGGTTAAGCATTTGACTTCGGCTCAGGTTATGATCTCGCGGTTCCTGAGTTCAAGCCCTGTGTCGGGCTCTGAGCTGACAGTTCAGAGCCTGGAGTCTGCTTCAGATTCTGAGTCTCTCCTCTCTACCCTTCCCCTGCTCGTGCTCTGTCTCTCTCTCTCAAAACTAAACATTAAAATTTAAAAACTATAAAAGAAAAAGCACCTGTAGAAATTAGTATTAAAATTTTCACTCATGAAATAATATGATGTTGGAATTTGCTTCAAAATAATAAGAAATGGGAGTAAGGATATAGCTGAAATAGGATTGCCTATTATCGAAGCTGGTGATGGATACATGGGAAGATCATCACATTTTTCTTTTTAATGTTTATTTAATTTTGAGAGACAGAGACAGAGTACAAATTGGCAAGGGACAGATAGAGAGGGAGACAGAGACTCTGAAGCAGGCTCCAGGCTCTGAGCTGTCAGCACAGAGCCCAGTGCAGGGCTCTAACCCATGAACCGTGAGATCGTGACCTGAGCTGAAGTTGGACACTTAAGCAACTGAGCCACCCAGACACCCTGACCATCACATTAGTCTGTCTACTTTTGTATATGCTTGAAACTTTCGATAAATAAAAGATGGTAAAAAGAAAAAGTAAGAAAAAAAAGCAACTCAGGAATTATTCCATTTTTTCTGTGCAATTTAGGTATGAAACATCAGTATTCCTATGTGGAGAAGAAAAATCCTCTGACTTTTCAGGAGAGGAAAAGGTCAGAAGAAAGAAAAGTTTACAAGTACAATTGCATGCTAAAAGAACAGAGGTACATAATGATCTGAAAATATTTTATTTTTGAGTGTCGTTTTTAGCTTTCACACATTCCATCACATTTTAGTTCAAGTATTGAAATGTCATAATCATTGGGTTTTTTTTTCAGAGATAGAGAGAGAGTGCAAGCGGGGGAAAGGGGCAGAGGGAGAGGGAGAGAGAGAATGCTAAGCAGGCCCCACACTCAGCATGGAGCCTGACATGGGACTTGATCTCATGACCATGAGATCATGTCCTGAGCTGAAATCAAGAGCAGACACTTAACTGACTGAGCCACTCTGAGACACCCAGGTGCCCCTGAAATGTCACAATCTTAAATATTTCTTTTTCTTCCTCTTCTTTCCCCTGCTCCTCCCCTATTTCTTCCTTTTCTTCCTCTTCCTTTTTTTTTTTTTAAATGTAACAAGGAATCCTTTCAGAAGAATATGACATTTTCCCCTTCCTTCTCCATTAGACCTTTATTTTTATTGCTGTGATCTCTGTTAACACTTCTGCTGTTATAACAGTGACCCTGAGCATTCCTTGGCTGTAACTTCAATGTTGACCTCCATCTTGCTCTGTATATGATCTTCTCCCCTGTGTTTGTACCTCAAGTTTCCTTCTACTTTTATAAACACTTCATTGTATATCTCATCTTGAGATCCTTAACTTTGTTCCCTCTCCAAAGACCTTTTGTCCAAATAAAGTCACATATACAGGTTCCAAGGATTAGGATATGGACATATCTTTTTGGAGCCACAATTCAACCTACTACTTTCACTATATGATGTACTTAGATATACTCTCTATTTCTCAATAATTTCTCCCATCTGCTTTCTAGTTTACTTTTTCTTTCTCCAGCTGAATCTAATCTCCCAGTTTAAGCTGTCTATTAAGAATTTAACTTCAGTGCTTATATTTTTTTACTTCTAGAAATTTTGTTTGGTTCTTTTTATAATCTGCCTTATGTCATGTTCTTTGCTCATGTTCTTGTTGTTTCAAGACTAATGTCTGATAAATCTAATGTAAAGTCCTTGGGGGATGTAAATCCTCTGTTTATTGCTTTGTCTGATTCCCACTCATTAACTTATGTCCTTGTGTGTTTTGTACTTTTTGTTCATTTTCTCATATATAGTTAATCTAAATCTGTGGGAATATCGTGTGAGTCTGGATTTAAAGTATCCTCCTCCAGGAGAATTTTTTTTTTTAAATAGTTTATTGTCAAGTTGGTTTCTATATATCACCCAGTGCTCATTCCCACAAGTGCCCTCCTCCGTGCCCATCATCCCCCTTCCTCTCCCCCCCACCCCTGTCAGCCCTCTGTTTGTTCTCAGCATTCAAGAGTCTCTCATGGTTTGCCTCCCTCCCTCTCCCCCACTATTTTTCCCCTTCTTCTCCCCCATGGTCCTCCATTAAGTTCCTCCTAATCCCTCCAGGAGAATTTGAATTCACTTCTGCGCTGCACTTCAGAGGTGTTATGAACATGGAACAACTTTAAATGAATTTTTTGGTTTCTATTCTACTAGCCCATGTATTTAGTGTAGATGTGAGTTCTATACTCACGTGTGGGTAGAGCTATAGCTATAACTAATCAAGAGGAGTACTCTTTCATCTCTCTCTCTCTCTCTCTTTTTCCAGCCTGGAGCTTAGACAAAAAGATTTTACTCTGGATACTTCTTCTGTTGAGGGATACATTTTTTTGGCTTAATCTTTTTCCCCCCTAGCCCACTCTTGCTGGTAGCATTGCCTTTTGAAGATTTTGGCTCTGTGTGGGATCTCTGAGCCAATTCTTGTAGATCTTGAATGGCTTCAGAGTCTTCTTTCTACATCCTGCATGGTCTTTAAAAGACCAGGCTCTAGACTCCATGTAAAATTGAAGACACCTATTATTACAGTCCTCATTTTCTAAAGTGATGCTTTTCTGTCTACCTAGCTACTTGCCACTTTTGAATCATGTTTCTGCATACGTGGATAATTTTCTCAATCGTGAGGATAATTTAAAGCATAAGTACCTGTGTTATTTGAATAACTGTGTTGATTCTCTACATTATTTTGCTCATATACTCAAAACCAATATTTGTAGCCTAGGATCTGTGGTCTTGTCTTCACTATACCATAGATTTGCCCTGCTTTGTGAAATCCATCATATTTAATTGGCACAATATTAATTAGATGATTTAGTTGTGGAAAACATGGCTTTGCAAAAAAAATTGTATAGTTTATTTAAAATTTTAGTGTATATAAACTCTAATTCCATTACAAAAAGCAATTTTATATCAGTGAGGAGCCCAGATATGATTAGCTATCTTTTTAAGAGGTTAATTTTCCAATAATGCTGGTTTACCAGTGTGATCTCAGGCACCTACATTCTTGCATTTGGCTCTAGATTGCCTCTTCCTCAGTGAAGCTGTTGAAGGAGAAGATGACTCAGAAAGAAAGCTCCTTACTCAAGTTGCCGAATCAGTACAGTGTTCACAAGACTCTATCACCGCTTTGTACATCTTCCTCAATTGTTCGGTATTTAAATCATTGTTTTTTCTCCTTAAATGTTGCATTCAGATTTGGGTTTTTCTCTTCTGAATCATCTATCCTTTCCACATAAAGTATGCAAAATAGCTTGTGCAAACTAAAACTATGCTCTAGGAAGGATGGTGTAGAGCTAGCTAAGACTACTGTATGTGGAATTGAAAGACTTAAAGTTGAGTCCTTACTGACCTCACAGGCTAGCTTAGGCTCTTGTACAATTTACTTTATATCTCTGGGCCTCAGTTTCCACATCAGTACAAGAATCTTGTACTAGATGGACACTTGAGATTTCTTCTAACACTAACATTCTATGATTTTGGTTATTTACGTGTTAGGGGATTCGATAAATCATCTTTTCAAAACATTTTTACTGACAGGTTGTGGAATCTGGGATTCTTTGCTATTTAAAGATACTCTTGTTTTTCCTTCCTATAATAACTGTCTGTAAAATTTGCTGACTTGAATTAAGAGTAGGAAAAATTGGACCACAGCCAAAGGATAGTGGATCATGGGCACTGCTTACTGACGAGGGTAACTTCTGCTTCAGAGAGAGATATCTAAAAGAAGCAAGGTGGGAATTCTGGGAATGAAGAATATGTAATTCATGATCGCTTAGATAGTTTTTTAAGAAAGTTTTTTATGGAGTAAGAGACTGGAAAATCTCAAGCTATTGATAAGTTTCCTAATATTTTAATGGAGAATGGCATAAATATTTTGTGTGTGTGTTTTGTTTTGTTTAGTTTTTGTGCTTTCTAATGTCGCTGTTTCTTTGACAGGAAAAGGGAAGTGTTTTCTAGCCTCTGCAAGACATTGTATAATGAAGCACCTCAAGGACACTTACACTCACAAGAATTAAGTGGTAATAATAGGTTCTAGAATTTCTGCTTGTGTACTTTTTAGGAATTATTTCAGTGATTCGTGTCTCTTTCTTTACTCCTAATGGCATATGATATCAACTAATATTACATGTTATCGACAAATGCTGTAGTCTGTGAGGAAGCATAAGCAAACTAGGTAAAATAAGTATTCATGAATATCTTTTCTTAAGAAATGTCTTCTGTTATATTGATAGATTAGGCAAAATATAACATATGTCCTTATTTTAGTTAAAATATTTTGGGGAAAAAAGTCTGAATATTACATCCAATGAATATATTAGTAAGCACTAGATTCACTGATTTTACTGGGATTTAGTTCTTGGTACACAGTACCCTTTATTTCTTTTTTTCCTCCCTTCACTTCTTGACACTGAACTCCCCTGTATCTTGGGCCTCTCTTTTATATTTATGGAGTTATTTGGCATATTTTCTCTCTCTGATTATCATATTAAGCATCTTTTTTTTCCTTAAGTAATCTCTATGCTCAAAGTGGGATTCAAACTCACAACCTCAAGATGAAAACTTGTGTGTTCTACCAACTGAGCTAGCCAGGTGCCCCTATGCTAGGCATTAAAAAAAATTTTTTTTAATGTTTATTTATTTTTGAGAGAGAGAGAGAGTGACAGGCAGAGAGAGAGAGAGGGAGACATAGAATCTGAAGCAGGCTCCAGGCTCTGACCTGTCAGTACAGAGCCCAGTGCAGGGCTTGAACTCACGAACTGCGAGATCATGACCTGAGCCGCAGTCAGATGCTTACCTGACTGAGCCACCCAGGCACACCAGGTATCTTTTATCCCTCAGTTTTATTGGGATATAATTAAGATGTAGCACTGTGTCATTTAAGATGTACAGCATAATGACTTGACTTACATATATTGTGAAATGATTACCACAATAGGTTTAATTAATATTCATCATCTCATATAGATACAGGGAAAAGGGAAAATATTTTCCCTTGTGAGGAGAACTGTTAGGATTGTGAACAACATCCATAGCTTTCCCTATTGTCTCATTGGAGAAGATTCCCTTTCATGAGACTAATCCCTTCACTCTTAATTTTCTTTCATTGAATTTTCTTCTACTTCCTCAGCGACTATGTCAATTTTATACTCTATGTTTTTCAAAGAAGCTTCTTAAAAGAGTTATTTTCCTTAATTAATTATTTACTTACCATTTCACTGAAACCTGGTTTCCATCCCTAATACTCTACTAAAAACTTCTGTTATTAAAGCCATTGTGGGGCACCTGGGTGGCTTAGTCAGTTAAATGTCCAACTTCAGCTCAGGTCATGATCTTATGGTTCATGGGTTCAAGCCTCACATCAGGTTCTGTGCTGACAGTTCAGAGCCTGGAGTCTGCTTCGGATTCTGTGTTGCCCTCTCTCTCTGCCCCTCTCCTGCTCATGCTCTGTCTCTCTCTCTCTTTCTCAAAAATAAATAAACATAAAAAGAAACATTGTTATCAATATGTTAGTCTTTCTCTGGTATTTAGCACTGTCATCTAGCACCTCTTTTTCTGAAAACTAAGAGTAGTACCCACTGAACTAAATTCAGTTCAACATTTTTTTTAAAAAGTTCTGTCGGTTTTTTTTTAAATTTTTTATATACTTCTGAGAGAGAGAGACAGTGTGAGCAGTGGAGGGTCAGAAAGAGGGAGACACAGAATCTGAAACAGGCTCCAGGCTCTGAGCTGGCTGTCAGCACAGAACCCGACGCGGGGCTCGAACCCACGAACCGCGAGATCATGACCTGAGCCGAAGTCGGATACCCAACCGACTGAGCCACCCAGGCGTACCTCAACAGTCATTTTTTGAGGATCTATTCAGAAGTAGACACTGGCACTTGAAGAATGAAAAATATTGTCCCCTAGGAGCTGATAGTTGCGTGAGGAATATTGACATGCAACCAATCACAATACCAATAGTTTCTCTGAGATATGGACCAAGTGATACGGGAGCATGGAAGAAGGATTTAAATATTACCAGGGAAAATTGTGACTGCCTTTGCTATGTGAGCTTTGCATGACTTTTCTGAGTTTCTGAAAGTTGTTTAGGAAACTTGTAGACTTGGAGGTCATTCACTCTAGATTCACTCTAGACCTACCTAAATAGGTCATGAGATTGATTTTAAAGCAAAGAATTAGAACACAAAGATTTGCCCCTCTTTCTTCCCTTAGTGATCATTGTCGTTTTTTCACTGGGAGAGAGTGTAGTGGGGATGAATATAATTATTCATTTGATTTAATTAACTGTTTTGTTGTATATTTAGCACTTCAGAAGGCTTGTAAGATTTTTAGCAAAATTCAGAGTGGTAAGATTTATGTCAATGATCTGCCAATGATCCATCACACCTTGAAGATTTTTATAAGTAATTCAGAAATGCAAAAGGCACTAAAGACTATTGATATTGATGGTAAGTTTTATGTTTTCATTATTAGTTTAAGGTCTGCAAACATGGATATGTTATATGTTGGTCAAATTAATTACAAATCATAGGAAAGCTAAGCTTTATGTTATAAAAACTTCTTTGGAATATTTATGATAATAATATTAAAAATTGGGCCTCTGGTACACAATTGGATTGATTAATTACTGGATTGCATTATGACATACTTCCACCAACATCTGATATTTTTAGACTTTTAATTTTTGCTACTTACATGCAATAGAGAAAACCTTTTAAGCCAAAAGTGTTTGAGTATAAAAGTACAGATTAGTATACTTAACTATGCTAAAATTAAGAACTTTTATTTATCAAAAGACACTTTAAAGTAAAAAGACAAGTTATAAACTTGGAAATATTTGCAATTCACAGAAGTGACAAAGGTTAGTTTTCAGAATGTGTAAATAACTCATACAAATCAGTAACAAACAATGGAATAGAAAAATGAGTAAGACACATGGATAAGTATATCACATAAAAGATAAAATGTATAGCCAATAATACTATAAAAATATTTCCCATACTCAGTAGTCAAAGAAATGCAAATAAAAATCCTAATAACTTCATTTTAAAAACCTGGAAAAGTAATTATTCTTTGGTAGTCTGTGTCTAATATTTTAATCAAAGAAGTAGATAATAGGGAACTGATTACATTTACAGATCATTCAAGCTTGTTAAGGAGGAGAGATAAGTTTAGAATAAAAATAGTGTAGATAAGATTAAGGAGTGGTCAGAAATGAAATAAACTTAGTACACATAAATGCACAGTAATACTCTAAGGTTGAAAGCATCAAGATGCTCAAATATAAGATGTGGATTGATTATTAAAATTTGTAGATGGAAAATACTAGGAGTCAAATGGACCACTAATAGAATGTTACTTAGCTATCTAATAGGAATTGACAAGTTGCAATAGTGTGCCTCTGTCCATTTGTCCATCTATCCAAGTCACCCCAACATTTTTTGAGTGTCTACTATACACAGCTTTCAGAGGGTATAAAAATAAAATAACGAATATAAATCTAACTTTTAGAAAGACTAAGAGGCAACTCTATTTTTTCTAACATGTTTATCCATATGTTAATTTCCTTGACATATAGTTTTTTGGAGATTTATTATTAAAATAATGATCAAAAGTGTAAGTAACTTTATTCTCTGAAAGTACAGGAGAATATGAAGGAGAAAATAAATTTTATGTGTAATCTCACTACCCAGAGCCAAACTTTGATATTTTTACATCTAGTTTTCTAGAGTTTTTCTAAGAATGTATGTATGTATGTGCGCGCGTGTGTGTGTGTGTGTGTGTAACTGTGGTATGTACATAAGCATCAACACATAATTTAAAAAAATACATGTTGACTCACATGCATACAGTTTTGTTACTTTTTTCTATTAACTTTATGTTAGGCAACTTTCCATGTAAATAAATATAGATCCATACTGCCTTTTGAAATGGCTGTGAGTTACTCTGTGGGACAGATAAAAACACAAAAACAAATTGTTTTTGAAAAATAACATATATAACAAATAATCTAAGTAAATGTAAATTATTTCTAATATTTCTGATATCACAAGCAGTATTTCTTCTCTTTCTCTTTATTCCATCAGACAAAAGATAGATAACTAAAATTGAAATTGCTAGGTCAAAGAATGTGAAATTTTTAAGGCTTTTAAGTAATATTGTTATTAGAAGTTCAAACCAGTAAAACTTTAGAACTCTAGATATTTAAGACTTTAGATTTAGTTTCTTCGAATTACCTGGATTTACAATTGGGGAAACTGCAGAAAGATGAAAGTTTACTCCAAAGCCATACAACCTATTTTATTTGTTTTTATTTTATTTTAATTCCAGTTAGTTAACATATAGTGTTATATTAGTTTCAGGTGTACAATATAGTGATTCAACAATTCTATATATTACACAGTGCTTATCAAGATAAGTGTGCTCTTCTTCCCCTTCACCTATTTCATTCATCCCCTCACCCACATTCCCCCTGGTAACCACCGGTTTGTTCTCCCTAGTTAAGAGTATATTTGTTAATTTGTCCTGTTCCCCCACCCTCCGTGGCTCATTTGTTTTGTTTTATATATTCCACATGTGAGTGAAATCATATGGTATTTGCCTTTCTCTGAGAGGCTTATTTCGCTTAGCATTATACTCTCTACTTCCATCTATGTTTTTGCAAATGGCAAGATTTCATTCTTTTTATGGCTGAATAATATTCCATTGTATATATACACTACATCTTTGTTCATCTATCGATGGATACTTGGACTGCTCTCATAATTTGGCTTTGGAAATAATGCCGCAACAAACATAGAGATGCATATATGCCTTTGAATTAATGTTTTTGTATTCTTTGGGTAAATTCCTAGAGGTACAATTACTGGATCATATGGTAGTTTTAACTTTTTGAGGAACCTCCATACTGGTGGAATGTAAACAGTGGCTGCACCAGTTTACATTCCCACCAACAGCGCACAAGGGTTCCTTTTTTTCTACATCATCACCAACACTTGTTTTTTCTTGTGTTTTGAAA